GCGGGGCTGTCACTGGATCCTCCCAGCTGCTGGACGCCTCCAGCCCCGCCGCATGCTGCCCACAAGTGCTAAATGTGTCAGCACCATCCCCCCGCGACAAATGCAGATACCAGCAGCCCCCATCTCCCCCCGGCCCACCTGCTACACCCGACTGCTGGGGCACCTTGGCGAAGCACCCCGAAACACCCATCTAACACCAAACAGCTGCCACCAGCTGTGCCAGGCTTAGCTGGTTTGTCCCACCTCTGCTGGGGACATCCCCAGCACTGGGGAGGGCTGGAGGTGACAGCAAGTGGATGAGCTCTGCAGTCACCCGGCTCCTTCATGGTTCCATGCCTGGGAAACACCAGGACCCACTGATCCCTGCCTGTGAAATCCCACCTTGCAAGGCTTGCTCCCAGGAGGTTGAGACAGGATAGACCCGAGGGACCCCACTGCCATCTGGCTGCAGTGGCACCCGGGGACCTTTCTGATACTTTCCTGGTGCAGAGGATGCTCTCTCTGAGCCACAAACATCTCCAGGAGGGCACAAAACCAGCTGCCTTGAGCCCCAGCTGCTCCCAGCACCCACATCCCACACCGGCACAAACCAGATGGGTGGGTGCTTACAAACCCCAAAAACCAAAAGCTCTGGGGACCGCTGTGCCTCAGCCAGACACCTTTTCTCATTCATTCTAAGCCAGCCTGGAGGTACCAGGGGACCTGTCCCAGATGACCACCCAATGTCACATAAACCCAGAGGCACCAGGCTGCAACCTCCGCCCCCTGTGGCACCCAAGGCAAAGCCAGCTCTTCAGGGACCCTACACATTTAGTTGCTCTGGGCACCCTGCAAGGCAAGAAGACAAGCCCCAGAGATGTCACCTACCGGAGAAGTTCCTGGTGGCCAGCATGGTGGTGAGGATGGCTCCCTGAAAGACACAGAAAGCAGAAGGAAAGGGCGTGTTGGGTCCCGGCCCCCCCGTGCCCCCACCGCTCCCCCCAGCCCTTGGGGAGGAAAGCCCTGTGTGTCACCTGTCCCCTGGCCACCTCGCTGGAAGGAAACTGGCCCACGGGCTGATATTCTCCTCCTGCCATGAAAAGCAGCCCGTGGTACCTGACTCCATATCCCCAGCGCCAGGGCGTTGGATTGCATTCTTCAAAACTGCCTTCCCTCCAAGATTAAAGGGATATTAAATATCTCCAGGGTGCATTTTGGTCTCATTCTACCCTGCCCTAGATGCAGCACAACTCTGCTCTGACCAGGGCTGGCAGCTGGCGGCAAGGGGAGCCACCGGGAGCGGAACCAGATTTAATTGCAATTAAAGCCATGCCAGCTCAGAGCAGCAGGGCAGGGATTTTTCATGGGAGCCACGCAAAGATCACCACTGCAACATAACATTCATAAAGATGTTTCCCCTTTTCCAGCAGACTCTACTAACTAGTTGCTCAGCGTATAATGAGATTACATTGGACTAATTGCTTACAGTAATGGATAACTATTTTGAAGTGCATGCCTGAACTAATTTGATTACTTGTCTAGCTGAAAAGTAATAATGGTCTACAGCCAGTTTCTTTTCTTGATAATCTTGTTAGTAGCCTGCAGCCGTACTGCTCTGCACCGCATCACATGCTGGCCTGGAGCGCTGATGGCTCTGACTGCGGCGCAGACCAGCGCCATCCCATTCCGTGTCACCGGCTCTGCAGGAGGCATTTGGATTTCCAGAGCCTGTTCCCAGCACCGTGCTGCCGGCTGGGGCTGAGCAGCACCCAGGAGATGGGTGTTCTGGGGAGGTGCTCCAGCTTGACAGCAAAGCTTGGGGAGATGGTGACCTCAGAGGGGTCCAGGCTGCGGCACACGGCAGCCCCTGAGAAGGGAAAGCTCATGGGGTTGCTGGTGTGGGTGAGCCAGAGGTTTTTGCCTGTCTGTGGATCATTTTGTTCCTTTGCTGCAATGTGACTTGGTCATCAGGCAAAGGGGTCTCACTGTGCCTCTGAGATCCATGTCCTGCCCAAAGAGGGGCTTTCTTTACACTGGTTCCAGTGGGCAAGTCCTCGCCCCAGTGACCAGAGCAGCTGTGTGACTCGGTGTTTCCTTCACCTCTGAGCACTCGGGGACCCCAGCCAGATACAGCCACCACCCCACTGCACCTCTTTTCCCTCTTCACCACCAGGATCCCCAAATGTCCATCACCCCCATACCACTCACCCAGAGACACCACCCTCTCCTTTCCCACCTGGGGAACACACCCTGCAATGACCTTATCGTGCATTTTGCAGCCAGCTTGGAGACTACAAGAGTTACCTTCAGCTTCCTCCGGGCATTGAACTTCTTCAGACAATCCACCGTCTCCTGCCTGTGCATGCATGATGCCACGGTGGCACGGTGCTGGGAGGAGAGAGACCCAGATCAGAGCAGGTGCTGGGGGGCAAGAGGCTCCCCCAGCAAGATGTTCCCCCCGTTGAACCCCCACATCCTGAGACCTTCAACCCCAGGGGGTGAGTGCCACCAAACTCACCGATATCCAGGGGTGCTTCAGAGCCTCTGCTGCTGTGATGCGCTTGGACGGGTTTATGGTCAACATCTTGTTGATGAGATCTTTCGCTTCGGGAGTGACCGTGTCCCACTCAGGGGACGGGAACTGCCAAAGCAAAGGGACCAGATGAGAGATAGCAGGGAGTAATGGGAGGAGCAGAAGCTCTTTTGCACTTGGGTTGGTTCTTCTGCAACCCTTTGCTCCTGCACATGGGACAGGTTGGAGAGACAGGAACTTGAAAGAGCTACCAGCTGGAAAACTGGAAAGCACGGGTGGAGGGAGAAAGGCAGAAGGTCCAGGACAAGACCTATCCGTCTTGCAAAGCGGACCTGAAACGGTCTGTGCACCTGGGCATGGCAGCTTGGCCAGCCTTCTGTGACCAGAGCAAAGAAAGTTGTTCCTGTCTGTCTGTATTTGTCCTGGTTGCTCTTCTGGAGCATCAGACTGCAACATGGGGACAAAAGGAGAGGGGAAACAGTGACGGGGGGAGCAAGACAAACCCACTCACATCATAAGCCCCAGCCTTGATCTGCTGGTAGAGTCGGTGCTGGTCTTCATCCCAAAAGGGCGGGTACCCAACCAGCAGGATGTAGAGGATGACGCCTGCCCGGAAGAGGAGACGTGGGATTAGTGGGAGAGGATTCATTGCTGGGGGTATGAATAGATCCAGCCTGGGGACTGGTGATGCCTCCTCCCCATCACGGGTGGAGGAAGGCTCCCCTCCAGCTGCAGCTACATGGAGGCACTGCAGGGAAGAAGAGCCAGCATCTGCCCGGGTGCCACCAGACTGGGAAAGGGGGTGCTGCTCTGGGGACAGACCAGGGTCATGTGCCACCTCTTTGGTAAATCCTCCACCCTAACCTCCCTGAGACATGTCTAGCGACTAAGATTTGGGACATGCTGGGTCAACAGCCTTCCTCATCCTGCCCAGCCCAGCCCAGCCCACTCCCAGCATTTCAGCCCCGATATGACTTACCGCAAGCCCACAGGTCCACGGCTTTGCCATAGGGATCCTTCCGGAGCACCTCAGGGGAGAGGTATCCCGGGGTGCCAGCGAAACCTAGGACAGACAGCCTGTCACACACCACCAGAAGCCCCCATCCCCACACAGCTGGAGCTATTAAAGCCCTCCTCATCCACCTTGCCTCCTAGGCTGGTGCTGCTGGGGTGCTCCCATAACCTGGGATTCAGGTCCTGGGGATGTGTGTGTCCCACCTGGAGCCCCCCCGACCAAACACGTGAACAAGGCTGAAGGCTGACCCCCCTCGGGTACTCACCAAACCACGCTTGCTGGTCCCCTTCTACCTCGATGGCGAGGCCAAAGTCAGCCAGCTTGACAGCAGCACCCTTCAGCTTGGATGCCAGCAGCAGGTTCTCGGGCTGCAAGAGGAGACGGGAGTTGGAGAGGAGCAAAAGCCCCCTGGGGGCTCTGCTGTCATGGTGGGGGCTGCCCAGAACAGCACAGAGGAAGGTCAGGGCTCCGGATGTGCTCCCTGATAGGTGTCATGATATCTGTGGATCCTTGGAGGACCATGGACCGCAAGGACCTCCCTGTCCCCTCTCCACCATGTGGTTTCACTCCTGAGCTGGTCTTTGCTCTGTGGCTTCCCAAGAGCTCCTACATGGCATTCCTCCCCGCTGTGTTTCGGCTGCCCTGGAGGACCCTGGGCATTGCTCCCCAGGGTTTTGCATCACAGATGGGGTCCCCACATCCTCCCACAGAGCCTTCCCCTGCAGCTCCTACCTTCAGATCCCGGTGGACCACCCCCATCTGGTGGCAGTGCAGGACAGCCTCCAGGATCTGCTGGATGCAGTGGCTGAAGGAGAAAGGAGAAAGCTCACAGAAGTGTCTAGCAAGGCAGAGTTTACTTAGACCCTCTACCTGGCTGCATTTCATCCCTCCTGCCCCTCTCCCCATCATGCTTCCTACCAGCAGCCCTGCAGCACATCTCAGCGTCCCTCTCCACCAAAAGCCACACACCCATGGAGAGCAGTTGCAACCCAGTAAGACCCAGCAGAGCTGCTGGACACCCACCCACAGTGAGCAGGAGCAGGGGGGCTACAGCAGAGCCCATGGGGTCCCCACAGGAACAACACCAGGGAGCTGGGGACCAGTGGTGGAGTTGCAATGCCAGCCCAGATTGGGTCTGCAAACCCAGGCAGAGCAGATGTGCTCCTCAGATGTGGAGCTGACCTCTGCTGTGGCCCCATTTCCCTGGCCTCTTCTAACGCGGGTGGCTCCTGCTGCGTCTGTTCGCTTTTTATCTAGTTCATTAAACCCCAGCTCAGCTGCATGCGTGAGAAAGGAAGGGAAAAAGACTAAGGCGATGATCACTTCTGCTCCAAAACAGCTGTGTGCAAGGCAGAAGGTCTTTATTTACATGTATTTTATTTTATTTGTATGACACTAATGAGTGGATGGGTTGTAAGTGGATCCAGCGCGGGCAGCCCATTAAATGATATTGCTTTCTGCCTAGAAATGAGGGACATTTCCATGCAGACAGAGGTAGCATGGAGCTTACCATCCCCTGGGACATTTGTATGGGCTATGCCTAGTGCACAGGGTCAAAGCCAAGAGGAACAGCAGTATCTGGAGACTGGAGACATGTCCCCTCAATAAAACGAGGCTAATGCTCTCCCCTGCCGGAGCTGTGAGGACCAAAGGGGTGGATGAAATGGTTCCCAGCCCCCTGCTCTGCAGCAGGGTACCTGGAAAGTGCCAGCAGGAACAAGAGGAGATTCAGCACATCCTCCCATCCAGCCTGTCTTGACTGCTCCTCCTTAGTGCCTTCAAGTGGTAAATGCCAGAGAAATGCTTGCAAATGACTGTCATGAAGCTGCAAGGGGAAAGGGTGAGGACTGCCAGGGGTCTGTGCTATCATGGTCCTGGATGGGGCACTAGCCTGATGCCGGGCTTCCTCCCTGCCAGCCTGGGAACCTCACTGTCCCCAGCCCTGCTGTCCCCAGCCTGAGGAACCTCACTGTCCCCAGCCCTGCTGTCCCCAGCCCTGCTGTCCCCGCTTTTTTGCAGGGAGGTCAGGTGCAGGCTGTGCAAGAAGGAGGATGCTGCGGGTGATGGCTGGCAGCTGCCTGGTTCGAGGGGGCGACCAGCCCCGCGGTAACACACGCAGCTCTTGGCACAGAAGCAGAGTGTGTTAAAAAGAGCTTTTTCTTTTTTTTTTTTTTTTTTCTCTACACATCTGGTTTATGAGTACACACTGCAGAGCGGCTGTAAAACACCTCCCAGCATGGAAGGATTTTATGCTGCAGAAAGCCAGACGCGCTGAACCCTGGGAGGGAGCAGCTTGCAGGACAAGGGGACAACTGCTGTCCCCTCCATGGCCTGGCATGTGTCCGTGCTCACCTGGCATCTGCTTCGCTGTAGTATTCCCTGGCCACAATGTCCTCAAACAGCCCCCCGCCAGTGACCCTGCGAGAAAACAGGGGGAGTCACGCTCGGCCATCCCAG